TAAAAGAACTCGGCCTAATGGTAGCAGCTGCATTTTCCACAACTGACAGAAAATCTAGCGAGTGCAGCTTTGATAGAGCTTATATAATGAAACAGAGAGTGTGTGCTGTGTGGGAGTTTTAGATGTAACCTGTAAAACTTACCCCACAAATGTAAACAAACTTTGATCGTGAGCAGGGGAGCGAGAGAGTGAGTGCCGAGGGAAGAGGGCAGGGGATCTGGAGCTGCGAGTTGTGCACATGCCTTTCTTTCTTTTCTTTTTTTTCGGGAGTGCGCTGAGTGACCGGCGCACACACAAGTGTGAGTGAATGTCCGTGGGAGTGAGCCTTTAGTGCATCAAACACTGACGAGCCCGAGCTTGTGTTCTGCTAAGCATCTTTGGAATTTGGCTTCACCGCGATTCTCTCCTCTGTCGGAGACCCGTTGTAAGGGTTTGAAATGTTCCCCCTTCAAACTCGAGCATTTCATTGAAAAGCATACAGGAGGTCTGATTACAAGATCTCAGGAGGGATCGTCCTTGAAGTGCTCTTCTTCAAGGCGTGTTTTGTTTTCTTTGTGATTGCAGTAAAGTGGTAAGGGTATGGTTTTCTAGAGGACACGGAGAAAGGCGCATGCAGGGGTTTTTTTTCGTTTAGCAAGATGTGTGAAGTATGTGTCTCCTGACAAATATTTTCTCATTTTGGAAATTGCAATTATGGTGTTGTTTGGAGACAGGATGTGATGGTCAGCTCTGTACAACAAAGTTGACAAGTGGTGCTAGCAAAACATAGCCCCTGTGCATCTCTTGCAAAGAAACACATCAGAAGAATGCGTGTGCATGTGAAAGTGTAAAGCATAGGAAGCATCTGTTATCTTCACAAGGCTTGAATGAAAAAAAAGGTTTAAAAAAAGCTGATCGCTGCTTTAAAGGAAGCATAAATCAAGGGCAGACTACTTTGAATCGGACTATAACTATTCAAGGCTGGTTGAAGGTGCTGCTTTGATGTGCACGCACGCACGTGTGCGATTTAAGGGGGAGTGTTGCATTTCAGGGCCCCTTTGGCTAGTCAGGGCTGGGCCGTAAATCTGGCCTTGTCTCCCAGTTTACTCGGGCCCATAAACTAGAAAGCAATTATGGAAAACAACTGGATGCAAGATTTCTTCCGTCCTTCAAGACTTGTGGTTGCCTGCTGAAAGGATTTGTATCCTCTTATCTACCCAAAAGGAATAGCATTGCCTCGCCCACCCCCTCACCCTGAGCTCGGCTTCCCATCAAGAATCGATTGGGCTCTCGTATATTTGGTAGATAGAAGGCACGTGCCGAGTAAAGTAGTCGGGCTAAAAATACTGAGTCAGACCTTGACCAGTGCCCATTAGGTTTGGCACACTCATGATTTATTCATTTGGTGTCAAACACATTCAAACACACACACTCATTTAGGCTGACTCACATAGTTCATGTCACTCTCTGACCCAGGTCTCAGATGGACAGCAGCAGAGAACCACACTTGTTAACAAAGCGTCTGATATTCATTACCAGTGATTATCGGGTTTCTTTCCTCAGCCTGAGCTCAGCATGTTATATCGGCTTATTAGGAAGCAGATTTTTTAGTGGGAATTTTGTTTTGTTTTGTTTTTTAACTTTTTTTTTGGGGGTGGGGATAGTATCTCATGAATATAAACATGAGTTGCTTGGCCTGCTTTGATCTGGGCCTGGCTGAGAGCCCCGAATGGAGTGGGCTGGAGCTGCCTTTGCACAGCTCTCTCTGCCCATTTTAACCATTTGCATAATTGCCATAACTGTTGAGGCCAGCAGTGCAAAACACTTGATAAATGTGGATTGTATTAGAAGCGAGAGGAAATGCCGGAGTGCCACTGTGGGTGTCTGTTCTCAAATGTGGTAGAAAGTAAGAATAAAATAAGGATGCGAGTATGTCACGAACGTGAATCGACAGCTGGAAGGCCCAGTCATCAGCTGGGATGATCCTAGATCTGATCTCCAATATATTCCTGCCCGGCACGCAGACTTTTTTTTTCTAATTTCAAGATTCATTTGAATCGTTAAGCAACACAACATTTTAAATGGAAATTGCACATGAAGTTTCTCTTTAATAAGTACAGGCTGTTTCTTCATGCTTGTGCCTGCTAAGTAATGCACATAGTAATGCACATAGTGTTAACTTTGATGGCATTTTGCTGTTGCATAACTGGAAATGTGCTGCTGATTAGCAGTCAGTTCCACTGACTAGTCTTTGCTTATTTTCCCTTTATTGCTCTTACTAACGCAGGCTTCAGTAGGAGCAAGAAAACTCTCATTTTACAATGCTTTTAGGGACTCTTGTGAGATTTATGAGTCACCTGCTAAGCAGCATCCTGGGAGAGAAATAATCAAATACCCACACTTCTCTTAGAGCATGCTTGCTCTGTCGGGTTCAGTCTCATGCTGGCATACTTTTACCTTAGAGTGTTTTTTGGCAGCTGCATCTCAAATAGTGACAAATTGCACAAAGAAGGCAAATTTATCACCCCCCTCCACCCAGGCTGTCTGTTAATGTATAATGTAAATACAGATAGTTGCTGACAAGTATGTGTGGTCAGGACCGATGCTAAGTATTCGAGATTGGTAGTAAATGGGCTAAAACAAGTAAAAGGTCCCTATATGGCCTCTTTGAAGTCTACCTGTTCTTTAGGTGCCACATCAGTTGGCTGAACATGAAGGGAACCCCCTCCTCCCTCGGGTCCTGTTTATAGTCGGAAAGGCTGCGGCGCACTTGCATGTTTTATGGTCTCGAGAACGTTTTATGGCTGCTGGGGGTGTTTATGCACGGGAAGAGAGAGGGTCAAAAGGGTGAAATCAATAGTGATCCTTAATGAGGTTGCTGAAAAGAAGGAAAGGAGCGGATATGCCGGCAGTGAGAGGGAGGCTGTATGGTGAACACGCTGACAAAGTAATCAGGCCTCTTACTTGGGTATTCTGGTGATTTAACAGCTTGTTTCGTTTTGGCAACAGATAATGCAAATGAGTGTATTTCCAACAGTAAATTTAGTGTCATAAAACAACACACGGTGTGACAGGCTTTCATGAAAGGTAGGAAAATTTGCAAAGAAAATGAGCTGCCACAGGACTTGATTTTCCATAATGTGCATTGTCAACCAAAAAGCACCTCACTCTGCCTTTTTTAAGGAAATGAGTTGTAGTAACCTAGCTGGATCAGAGTTGCATAACAGGCTTACGATGGGACATATGCTGTCTGACCTCAGAGGAAAACAGCATTACCCTGACAGGGTACACGTTTCACATAATCCTGTGGTCTTTTCCCTGTGGGGAAACATAACTCAAGCCTCAGAGATAGAAAGATAACCGTGATAACACTTTTTGGGGATTTGCCCTCTTTTTACATCATTTCAGTTTCATTGCTGTCGTCTAACGCGCATTGAGCTCAGCTTTTACAAGTTTGTTTTCTAGTGCGGTGCTGTGCTCGGCTGCAGTGGGAGGCTGCGTTGTTCTAGCTGTGCTGTTGGACAGCTGTCTGTACGGACAAACACAGCTGATGAAACGCGTGTCAGCTCGACCGCGTCCTCAGAGGATTAACATCCACTAACAGTAGTAAGAGGGGCAAGAGGTGGGGTTTATTTCAGCAAAGGAGAAAAGCCAGTGTCAGTCGCTCCAACATTTTGGTCCACAGTGAAAATCTAAAAAAATACTGGATGTGAATCTTTCCAGTAAAATATGTCAGGACATTATAAATGGATTGGCACATTTATTACAACCCCAATTCTCTCAAAACAAAAAGCTGGAGGAACACTTTTATAACTAATTAGCTTAACTGGCAGCAGTTCAGTAACATGACTGGGCATAAAAAGAGTATTCACAAATCTGCACAAAACCGGGTCTACAAATAGTTTATCAAATTCATTATAATGTACAACATGAAATTGCAAAGACCTTGAATATGTCATTATCAACAGTACATGATATCATCGAAATTATATCCACAAGTATAGGTTAAAGCTCTATCAAGAAGAAGCTGTATGTGAATGTGATCCAGAAACACTGCTTTCTTCTCTGGGCCAAAGCTCATTTAAAATAGGAAAAGCAGAAAACTGTTATGTGGTCAGAAGAATCGGAATTTGAAATTGCTTTTGGAAAACATAGATGTCGTGACCTCCAGACACAGAGAGGGACCATCCGGTTTGTTATCGCTCTGTTCTAAAGCTTGCATCTCTGATGGTATATGAGTGTATCGGTGCCTGTGTGACTGGCAGTTATAGCTTTAGCTTTTAAGAGAACCATCCAGCATCCCTTTGTTGGAACTGTTGTTATACAGATATTCATGGTTTGGTAAATGGTAAATGGACTGGTTCTTATATAGTCCTTTTCTACTCTTCTGAGCACTCAAAGCGCTTTACACAACTTGTGCCTTCACCCATTCGCACAAGCACATTGGATGCATCAGAGAGCAATTTTAGTATTTTAGGTTAGTATCTTGCCCAAGGATATTTGGCATGCAGACAAGGGGAAGCCAGGAATCAAACCACCAACCTTCCGATCAGTAGATGACCTGATCTACCCCCTGAGCTACAGTCACCCCTGCGGTTTCCATTGTATTAATCCAGTGACTCATTCTCTGACCTCTACTTCCTGTTTACTCCCAGTGTTTTGGTTTGCATGCATTTGCATCTCGATGCAAAAGATGCCTTGTAAATGCATGCCTTCTACAGTGCTGGTGGTAAACATCAGCTTATTGTCATGGCATGACAATGGAAGCTCGACTTTGCAGCTCTGCAGAGCTGCTACCACAGTCACAGACTCCTTTTCTATAGTTTGACATGTATAAAATTTACCACTAGCAAAATTTATGATCAGTTTATCTACTAAAGAATGACAAAACTCTGACACTCTAGGTCAACAATTCATTTGAGGCCACAGTGAAAACGCTATGGACAAACATCAAATTAACTAATTCTTTGTTTTTCTCTTTTTTACAGAGCACCTTCTCTCCCCACTGTGACCTGTAATCAATGGCAACCTCGGTCCAGACTCTTCCTTTGACTCGTGGCCCCAGCAAAAACTTCCGCGACCCCTGCCCAGCCCCACCCCTGTCCCCACGTTGCGGCATGGGAAGTGTAGGCAGTCTGGTGGAGAGGCCGGATGTTTCTCCGACTAAAGGCAACCGAGCAGTGCCTCAGGTGAGACCGAAACACAGCAACGGGCTCTTGAAGAAAGGCTTCACCCAGAGAGAGCTGCTCAACTACCTCAACATCAACAGGTGGGTCCTGATGAGGAAAAAGTTCCCTCGTAGGAATTCGAAACAGCAGGTTTTTGAAGGTGAAAAAGTCTGCAAGGTGTTATAAAAATGATAGAACTTGACCTAAGCAGGCTTACTTTGCTTCCAAACAGAAAAGAGCCTAAAGCGAGCCCGAGCAACGACGGCAAGAAGGATATTATCCCGGGCCTCAGCGCTGTCAGCGCACGGGAGGAGGATAACGTTTATGCTAAGGTTTACCATAAGGATGGCACTGAGGTAGATCTTACAAAGAACTCCCTGCCAAGCGCGGGCAAGTACGAAAAGGTGAATATGTTTCTTTAAAGTACTGCGAATAGATCCGTTCAGAAGTTTTATTTCTTGATGTATCAAAGAAACTCAAAGGAGGATATTCTCATTTTCAGCAAGTTTATTACATGGCTGCAAAATACAACTAAAACTATAAAAGTCAAAATGTTAACTTCATGACCAAGGAGACTCAGTAAATATAAGAAAAAACTCAATATTTTTAGTAATTTGAGTAAAACTACCTATAGCATTCTCTACAACGGTCAATACAACAGTCAATATGAGGCGTTCTGCACAGATCTGCACAAATGCAGATGAATGACTTCCCATTGTTTCCTTTTTAGAAATGATTTACAGTCAGTGAAATACTTCTAGGGCTGTGGTAAATTGATCCATATCACATTTATACATCACTGGCAGCATGCTGAAATACCCCCATGGCGTTGTCACCTAGCTGTAAACATCTTCCATCTCACTGGCACAGATTGACAACCTGCTCTGAATGTATTGCACCAATCAAATATCACCTTTATTTCCCTGCTTGAATTAATCAACGCTATTGATTTAAAAGAGACATTGTGATTCATGTTTCGTAGCCTTGCCACCTCTCGCTACTATCTTGCTTCCTCTCCTTTAGGCACGTTTGAGGTCTTCGGCCTTTAAGCCTGTGACCCCCAAGAATTTTAGCTCAATGCAAAACCTCTACCCGTCTTCCAAATCAGAGGACGTGGATCATGGCCTCTCTAACGGCTTGAACAGAGCGTACGCCCATGTTCCCAAAGCGGTCTCCACCTCGTCTTCTTCTTCCTCACCGTCACGTCACGGAGGACCGACGTCAGCCGGCAACAAGGTGAGCTAACGCTACAACCTTCATCCATCCTGTTATTATTATCTCGTTTACCTTTGTTAATCTTGGCGGAAAGCTGCGAGTTGCGAGCCGGGGGAGCGAGATCATAGGTGCACAACAATTAACTATGCGCGACTTATTATAAAATTCATTTCCATCCATTATTTATGGCTAAAATTAAACTTTTTTCAGCTCATTAATGCTACACTGATGAACAGCTGTATAATTATGACTGTGTAGGCCCTCTCCTCGGTGTGTGGGATGGGCCAGGAAGATGACAACTTGTCAGACTCGGGCCATAACTCCATGAGCAGCCTGCCGCCGTACCGACCTCCCTTCCGCCCACACCTGTCTCACATCAGGTCTGCTGCAGTATTAGTCTTAACTATACTTTGAGCTGAAAAGCAGTGTTGCTATATTTGATTTTTTTTTTTTCATGGTTAATGACTGTGTGGGTTGTGATAATAGAAGAGATTTTAATGGCCTTTGTGGATTCTTTTCTTTTTTTAAAAAAAAAATAGTGCATCTATGGGCCACATCAATACCATCGGCTCCCTGGACCGCACCTCTCTGGGAATGAAGGCTGTGGGGTCAGGGGGCATGCCTATTGGGGAGATGGCATGTCGAAGCATGGCTACTCTGAGCCGTATTGCTCCATATAGCGCGGAGGCTCCACCTCCTTATGAATGGACGCTCTCCCTGTCTGTGGAGGAGGTGGTGAGTGCTGGGGGGTGGGGGATGAGTGGTGGGTGTGATTTAAAGATTCCTAAATGCTTCATGCTGTTGTCTTTTCCAGGTGCGGGATCTGGAGGAGCGCCTGGTGGAGAAAGAGCATGAACTCAAGCAAATGAAGAGAAACCTGGATGAGAGCGAGGGCGCCATCGCACAGGTGACTCTAATCATCTTCTTCTTCAGCATCAGTCTACGCACCCGTCTTTCATCACCCTTTAACGTCTGACCTTTTCATCTCCTCCATCGCTTTCAGGTGTTTGAAGGGAAGCAGCGTCTGTGGGAGAAGGAGGTGGAGGAGCTGAAGCGCCTGTATGCTGCTAAGCTGCGTCAGGTTTCCCAGCATGCCCAGCGTTCCCAGCGCAGCCTGCAGTTGCAGCTGTTTAAGGTCCAGCAGGAGAAGAACCGGCTGCAAGAGGAGCTCGACGGCATGAGAAAGGAAATGTGCCGGGAGGCTGGAGCAGTGCCCAGGCAAACCAGTCCGACTCTGGAGGAGACGCAGTGGGAGGTGAGGCTGTGGAAGGCCAGGGCAGTCACAGTTCATGGCAGGGAGAAGCACATAAAAGTAACTACAGGGAAGAGACAAGATATCTGGATTCCTTGTTTGTCCTTTTTGAATCATGGCGACCCCTAGCCTCCTTCATTTCCCTTTGACTCTCTCCCTCTCAGGTTTGCCAGAAGTCGGGGGAGATCTCCTTGTTGAAGCAGCAGCTGAGGGACTCCCAGGCAGAGGTAACTCAGAAGCTGAGTGAGATCTTCCAGGTGAAGACAGAGCTCAGGGAGACGCGAACAGAGCTGCGCAACAGGGAACGCCAGATAGATGCTTTAAAGCTTGTCCTGCAGGGGACACAGCGTCACAGACGACCTTCTCAGGCCGCACACGAAGACGAAAAAGAAGCTGAAGAGAATCCATCTGCTCGGGCGATAGGTAGAGTTACATCTCTCATGTCTTCATATATTTGGGTTAGTTGCACTTTTGGGCACAGCAGCTCTTTCACACCACAGTGTTTGTAGGCCACAGATGTGTTTTTAAAATTAAACTAAGCGAGTCGTCTCAGATAGATGATTGGCTTATTTTCAGTTCTGACATTTCAATGTCTCAACCCAAAAATCAGGTCGTTTCAGTAACCGGGGCAGGAATTTAAAATCAGCCAGTGTTTTTCATCATAGCCCCCCCCCCCTCCCGACGGCTCTAGCTGAAGCCATGTGAACCACTTTCTCTGCAGGAGGGTGCGGGGGCCCCACAGAGGAGCGTCTGCGCGCAGAACTGCTGCTGGAGCGACGCCAGAGCGAGGCCCAGGCCATGGCTTTCGAGGAAGAGAGGCACACGTGGCAGATGGAAAAGGACAAGGTCATCCGCTACCAGAAGGAGCTGCAGGCCAGCTACTTAGACATGTACCACCGCAACGAAGCGTTCGAGAGGGAAGTGCAACAGCTGAGGGCGAGCAGCGAGCAACAAGGTGGAGGAGCAGGCGGAGGAAGCAGAGATGGCACTTTGGAAAAAGAAGCGCCAGAGCTTAGGAAAGAGAGAGCAGGTGACAAACAAGAGGACACACCTTCGCCTGGTCTGCCGTGGATAGAGCGGATCGAATCATCGGAAATTTGACTGTGACCTACTTGTTTGCAATGCAAAGTGTGTCTATGGAAGACCATATCTGCCAGGACAAGGGGGAAAAAAATCAAATGAATTGATGTTGCTGTAATAAAATTGTGAGATAACAAGCAAATATTTACTGATAATAATAATAATAATAATAATAAAAACTAAAAGACTTGTGTCAAAATAAAGGATAAATGATTAAAAATTTTGATTTAACAAGTCAAAACTGTAAAATTATTAGTCAGATTTTATACTTTGTGTGTAATCCAATTCTTGACTTGAACCGTAAGTCCAAAAACATGTGATACCAAACATTCAGTCCAAAAACAAGCATCATACGCTATCATACGCTACTCCAAGTGATGACCATAAAAAAGACAAAAATAGGTCAAAATTTAATGTGCTACATTTTTTTTTTAAATTATCACATCAAAATTTATATCTATTATCCCAAATTAAGTAAGTCAACCTGGACTTACTGAAGAGTATTTATTTTTAGCATAATTAGCTTTTCTTTGATTTTTTTCTTCTTTTCATGGTACAGAAGGACTTCCACAGACTGCTCACCCTTCTTCCATCTCTTCCACTCCACCCTTGTTTAATTAAAACCCTTTTCCTGCTAAAGCTGGACCCCCAACCTCACACAGAGCCAAGTGATATTGAGGTTCGTCTATCCTTGTTGTGTTAACGCTGTAAAAAGAAAAAAAATACAGCCAAGCACCTAAACGGTCCAACTTAAGACTTCTTTTTATTGATAACCCTGTAAATGAGAAAATTGACATGATGATTGTGACTGCTTTGTGTTGATTTGGGTTGAGCCTGACCGATTATACCAGGGGTCCCCAATCCCAGTCCACGAGGGCCCTGCAAGTTTTAGATGTGTCCTCGATCCATCACAGCTGATTTAAATGGATAAATTACCTCCTCAACATGTACCGAAGTTCTCCAGAGGCCTGGTAATGAACTAATCATGTGATTCAGGTGTGTTGACCCAGGGTGAGATCTAAAACCTGCAGGGACACTGGGCCTCGTGGACTGGGATTGGGGACCCTTGGATTATACAGTAGTTAACATCTCACAGCCTCTTCAGTGTTTGCAGACTATCTATAAATTCAGGGTTCACCTGGACCTTTGGAGCAAACAGCTTCTTTGGGTTAATTATGAAGAATGGTGCCAAGGCAGAGAAAACTGTGCATAGTAAACTGGAAATACTCACCTTACTTCCTTCAGTTTCCAGACAGGTGAGGTTTATATATAAATATGTATTTTGTACATAACTGTAACTTTTATTTGCCATGGTACTTCAAGAGCACTGTCGTCTTAAATATGCATACTTTAACAAAATCAATTGGTAGATGCATTTATGATTGCCATGTTTATTTGGTGCGATTTGTTGCACAAACCCAGCACATAACATCAAATGCATGCCCGTAGTGAAAATATGTCCTCTGGTATTGTTATTATTGATATTATAAACATTCAAAAACCAGCTCTCATTTGACCTTTCCGCATACTGTGATTCACGTCTATTTACTGGAAATAAAACTGTACAGTATAAAGATTTGTTTTCGGTTTGTGAATTATTCCTGAAGAAGCGCAAAATCAGCTCAGATCCCTTTTTGTAAATCTGGGCTGAAAAAAGTGTTACAATAACCCTTTTCTATACAGCGTAGCCCAAACTGAACGGCTAGAAATCACTTGAGAAAACGTTAGAAGGGTGACTGATGGTATTTGCTCAAGGACTCGACCTGCCTGCTTTGAAGGGGCTTAAAATCCACAGAGAGTATACCAATAAAGCCCGCTGATAGGAGCTTTATGACAGAGTTGTGCAGGCTTTTGGGACTAATATGGCTTTTAGGGGTTTATCCTTGGATCCTTATCTCACTCTCTCCCTGAGGCCCTCCCTGTTCTACCTCAGCCAGCCCTCACATACCATCGCCTGCAGTACAGACAGGAAAGAGGTGGAAGGTCAGCTCAGATGGAAACATAGGAGGATCCCTGATTGGTGGGGGGTGCCTCTGTAGAAATCAACAAATGCACAAGCCTGAACTGAATGCCAAGAAAATGTTGGCAGGAATGAAGGTTTAACACCTGACTTTTTTCCAGGTGAAAAAATGTGCAATGGAAACACAAAAGTGAGAAAAAGGCAGAGCACATGTAAGTCCATAATGCAGGGTGATAATCTGAATAGATACGAGCTGCAGCTGACTCAGAGGCCCTTACCTTGGCATTTAAAACATTATATAAACTAAGGCTTAATATAACCGTGCAGCTCCAGAGAGGCTGAGTGATTTACTGAAGTGGGATGAGGAAAGATTCTTACCTCTCACATGCTGTCATGCTGTCTGTGGGAGTACTGCAGCACTGCAAGGCAGCACCACGGTTTATCAAATAAATTAATGTGCTTGTTAAATATTAGTGAATTATTTCAGAAGATAACATTTCTAGCTGTGAAACTGGAATACTAATCTGTTTTCTCAAACACAAACGCTATTTAGATTGACACTAGTGCCACCAAGTGGTAGCTACACAAATCCCTCCCCGTGTGGTAGGAGCAGTCCATCACCAAGTCCCAGTACAAGCCTCCATAAACCAACTGGAGTATAAATTTTTATTTTAATTTCAGATGCAAGTATATGAAACATGTTAGAGGATAAATATTTACAATAAAAGTCGCATAACACAAAAGCAGGAAACACACACATTCAGCTTAAAAAAAAAAAAAAAAAAAAAAAAGTTAATACATGTAGTACGAAGCACTAGCGGTCTATCTGCAGGGACAGTCAAAGAAGCAGAGAATGATTGTCAACCAAAGAGGAGGAAAGCGGAGAGGAAACTCCACACAAAGCCGAACTGATTCAAAATCAAACCTAAAGCTGAGTAATGCTGGTGCAGTGCTTGCTGAGAGAGAAAAAAAAAAGCCTCACTAATGTGCGAGGTGACATCACTAGGAACTTGCACTATTAACATCTAAACATGGTAAACATTGCCTTGGATGTTGTGAGACTACAGAAATTGACTGTTTATCCACACACACACACACACACACACACACACACACACACACACACACAGGTTCCACAACCTTCAAAGCAATCTGCATCTATAGATGTATAATCTTTGTTCAAGACTCCTTTTATAAATGTACAACTTTAATACTAAATGCAAAGTGTGGTATGAACTGTTACAATGAGCCCTGAGGAAATGTAGGGGGTTTTTAAATGTCACTTATTCAGACTCCATCTCTAATAAAAGCCAACCCTACGCAGCAGAGGCGTTTTCTATATATTAAACAACAGCCACAGTGACCAGAGGGCTTCTGTATCCACAAAAAGTAAAGCTTAACCACAAGCCTACAGTCACTGCAAGCCAGACCATGCGGCTACCATCACACCAATTTACATCTCCAAATCACATGGCGTGCAAGCTCAGGACATACGACAAGGGGGCACAGTAAAGCGATGGCGCAGCCGTGATGTGATCTGTGGAGTCGTCGGCTCTCAAAGTTACGCAGTAGTAGTGTTGAATGTGCCTGTTGCTCTTCTGTTTACTATTTTACACAAGCCACTGCAGTGATTGTGATTAAAAAAACCCAAAAGAAAACAGGAACAAAACACATTTCACAGTAGTATATATAGATATATATATATTTTTTTTTTGTTTGCTTTTTCAGTATTTGTTAAATACATACATAGAACAAGACAAATGGCTTCTATAATGAGGAAAGTTTTGCTGGTGTGGTCATACACAAAAGAAAAGCCGTTCCCACCGTCGGTGGATAATCTGATCTGAACAGATGCATCAGCTGACAGTGAGTTTTAAGCTACGTGAGGACTTTATTACACTATGGAGGACTAATGGGTCACAATCAGAGTTCGGCTCGAGAGAGACCTTCAGTTTCCCCTCACCAGCAAATAATACACCTTCAATAGTTTGTAACTCAGCGTGTTGCTTTCATGTATAACGGAAGTTTATTACCAACCTGAAATCAGAAACTGCTTATCTACACCATGTACCCACACTCTACACCCATTCATTATCATTCTGCTTTTGTCCAACAAAATAAAAGGAAAAGAAACAAAAGAAAAAAAAGAAGCAGTCATCAAACTCAAATTAAGTTGATAAAGCCAAGAAAGCAAACACTAGCAAGTATTACATACTTGAAAAGGATAAGCGTATAACTCTGCAGGTATTTGCAAACGACTTCCAATAGATGATCCTTTCTCATAGGTGCTGCTTCGTGAGGATGTTCCCATTACCGACTGACTCCTCACTCTACTACAGGTTTGTCAATGGACCATCCCTTTCTGGACTCCTTATATTATGCAAAGTTAGAGGGTCCGAGGTGGGTGACGGGATGCCCAAGGCAGTCCAGAGGAGCACTGGGGGAAAAAACCTTAATGCTTACCATAACAGGCCAGAAGGCCAGGGACAGAGGAAAAGGGTCAGAGCAAAAGGTCCTGAAGACGCAAACAGCTCCAGGCAACTTCATCCTTGATGAGGAGAGAGTAGCGTATCAAAAGTAGATCTGCTTGGCATGTGACGGATTCTGCTCCATGGGGCAGTATGGGCATTTCAACCTGAGGAGGACAAGAGTCAAGGTGTTAGCATCTTTGAATTCTTTTATCCTACATTTGTACCTTTCAGTGAACCACTTGTATTTTATTTTCTAACTGCAATTATAATTTTGTTCAGGAATAAATCTTTTGGGAAAGCAGTGACTGAAATTACAGTCAACATCAGACTCAGCATGTAACTTATAAGTCTAAATTTCTTTGCATCTGGGTGACTAGTAAATCTGAACGTTTTGATCCTGGAAAATAGTAAAAGTGCTTTCAAACCAACACTGACTTCCAAAATAAATAAATTCCTTTTTTGCTGACTTACTTCCCAGCATTGGTTAGTTTGTTGAGAGCATCTCTGGAGATGACGTGTCCACAGATGAGCTTCATGGGAGGATTGCTCTCTGATGTTTGCTGTCGAAGAATTGGGCAGGCGAACACAGAGTGGTACCAGCACTTCTTCCCGAGGTCAATTTCAATCTGTCAGGTACAGACAGGACACGAGTGAGCTAACGGTTCAGAAATTATTCTGAGGAGGGATAACTGCATTTGAAAAACTCTAAAAGGACTTACAGGCAGCTCGTCTTTGTGTGTCCACACTCCACTGCACTGTCTCTGCTCTATCACCTGTTTGATGTTCATCAGCACAGGCAAGGCCATACATCCAGATGCAAAACTGCAAAGAAACAGATATGGCATTGTTGATAAGACAGCATAAAGATGACACTAAAAACTGTTCCACTTCCGGTGTTAAACTTGATGACAGGTGATCTAGTTGACTGTTCATGTTTTTCCTAACCTAACACTTAGTGGCGATTCTACAGAGAGGCCCAGCAAAGCGCAGGCGTCCCGGGTGAAGATGTTGCAGATCTCAGCCCACTGATTTGTCTCCAGCAAGCTGCGGTACGGTGAGTTTTCAATGCCATGACGCAGGTACACCAAGCTGCCCATCAGAATCTGGATGTCTTCAAAAAATGAATACATAAAAGTGGTGGAAAATACACACACACAAAAAGAAAAAGAAAATATCTAAATTCTTGTTACATGGAGATACTATAATGCTTACCTCTCTGGTGCTGTGAAGCAAAGGGCTGGAAGTGCCTGGCATACTGCAAGGCCTCCATTTGGTTGCTGATTCCTCCACTGAGCAAGCTGATGAAGTACAAGCGGTGCAACTTGAACTCTAAACTGCTGTTCAGGTCCAGAAGACGCTGCCGATTCGTCACAGCCCACCTACAAAGACACGGAAGAAACACTCAGCTACTGAATGTAAACACTCCTCAACTAAAGATTTATCAGTTGTGTTAGAAGGAAGCAGATGATTAAAACAATAGATACAGAAAGACCACATACTCTAGTGCTGGCCTAAGGTCCTGCATCCTCAGAGCTTCAAGGATCCTGTTTAGCTCCAGGAAAGGCTGCTTCATGCTCATGTCTATAACTACACCAGACTCCTAGAAAATAAAACTACTTTTAAGAATTTCTAAGACTTATCTTCACAAAAACAGCATTACACAACATTTCAGCCAAAAATATTTTGCAATAAATAGATAAATAAAAAATAAAGGTTGGAGGTTTCAGCTTTTTACCTGACAAAGGTCTTCTGCTACACTAAGCATCCCTTGTCTGTAAAGGTGTTCCACAATGGATTCACTCAGGTATTTCTGTCTCTCTGGGGTGTCCCACACGGTCTCTGCCACAACAGCACTGATCTCTGCATCGAAATTCTACAGAAAAGCATGCCAGAGGTGACGGACATGTTCTAAAACATTTTCAAGGAAAATTGAAGAGAAACCTGTAGCCGTTCCTCACCCTGTCGATGGCTTTGCCAACTTTAGACACACTGCCGTGGATGTCCTTGTGTCGAGAGGCTAGCATCTGCACTGTTTCTTTGATATTTTTACAACACTGCGCCATAGTCTGTGATAGGACCGATAAATCTGCATCTTGTACTCCTGTTGGAGAAAAAAGGTAAAGGTTTAATGTGCCAAACCAGAGAAGATGGAGCACAGAGAGACCACGAACGTTCCATACAATTTCAATCATTGATACATATTAAACTAACAGTGTTCAGTCTTACCAAAAGCAACTAGCTGTCCTCGTATCTCACAGACGCTGCGCAGGAGTTCATCTAGCCTCTCCTCAGACTGGTGGCCGTACATTACAAAGCGATGGAGCACCTTCTCCAGCTCCCGCTCCACACATGCACACTGTTCCATGGTTCAGGCTGGAACCCGCACACACAATAACAATAACACCTAGAAAAACAGAAATATGTTATTAACTAAATGTTTTGATATTTATTTGAAAGACTTTTGAAACTGTAGTGATGATACAGTAGCATGCAGTATTGAGCCACCAATCATTTGTTTACTTTCTACAAGAAATATTTGATATGCCTACTTATAATAACACAGCCTGAACTCTCTTAAGCAGCTTTCTTGTAATTTATTCTGTGTGGTCTCCAGGAATAGTTCTCCAGGCTTCTTGAAGGAATATTTAAAGTTCTTCTTTGGATGTTGGTGTTCTCTATCTAGGTATGCTTTTACTGTACTGGCAGTGTGTTTGGGATCATTGTCATGGTGAAAAATTAAGTTCTTCCAATCACATGTTATTTCACGGTGGTTCAAATTCCAGCAATTTTGACATGATCTCCAACACCACTGGGTGAAATGCAAACCCAGACAGCCTCCACCATGTTTTACAGACAGTTGACATTCTCGCCCTACCTCCTCTGTAAATACCAACCATGATTTGAACCAAAAAAAATCTAACTTTGATTCAACAACTTATGTGTTTCTGCAACAGGCTCCTATTAACAAAGTGCTTAAAGATGCAATCCTAAATTGGTTCATTGCCAAATTTTCACTCATGTGTAGATACAACACTGGAAAAACCTTGTTGAAACCTTGAGATGTGTTGGTGCCTTTTTACACTCGAGTCATTCGTAGGTGACTGTTAGCTAACAACAACAAAATAAAAATGTAAAAATGAGTGTAAAAGATGCCCTTTAGAAAACCTGGAGAACTAGACTACTTGAAAAAAAAAAAAATACATGATTATAATGGAATGAGGGGTAGCTCTTGCACAGCACTGCATATCATCTGGAAGTTGCATTTTCAATGAGAGGAATGTTTTGTCACTCATCCACGTATCTTCTTCAGTCTCTTAAGACTGACTACAGGGTTCCCCAGCCTTATAACAAAGCATTTGCATACTTTGCCTGAGGTCAGTTTCATGTTCTTTAATGTGCAAATTGCCATGACTATCGATAAATAGTACCATTTACAGAGAATGGCCGCATTCTGGGAATCCCCAACTTAAATAAATTTTAAGTTATTTAAAAGTTCTAAAGAATCTTTGGGATTCTCAGTGAACACAAATGTGCATTTCTATAAAGATACGTTTTAACAAATAACATTTGTAATTAAATAAGCCGAACAAAGATTTTTTTTTTTTTTTATCTGACATTTTAAGAGCTAAACACAAGATTTAGGATAAAACACTACAGGTTTTTAATGACAGAAATATTAAAAATTTTTATTTCACACTGACAATACAATGACTATCGCACAGCTGCCTCTAAAACAAGTATGCCCGATCAGTAATAATGTCTTAAAATACCTCCAACAGCTGTTCGGTCCTACCCCGATTCAAAGTTTGGCCTACGTGATAACATTAGCAAGGCCTAACAACATCACAAACAAGCACACAATGTATGCTGCGGCCTGCTATTTACGTCTCAGCTGTAACTGTAATTTAACCAAGTGATGATATTAAACATTGTATGTCTGCATGCTGAAATTAAGACTTTTTAAATAGAAAAGCTTTACTTAATGGTAACGCTTTGCCGTAGCTCACCGCTAGTAAGCCGACAACAGAATATGTCCACCTACCGTAAAGGAGCTAGCCAACATTAAGGCTCAAACGGACTTCTCTTTTAACGTTTTAATGACAAGTTTCCTACGTTGTTATTTTCACTCAAAATTACTATTTTTAAGTACCATAAATTTTTACGTAATTAGTTAATATATTAACTAAGGAAAAAAACACAAGCCGCCGCACAGCTAACATAAACAAATGGAATCGCAGTCGCTAGCTGGCTACAAAAGCTCGTCATTGCTAGCAGCTAGTTAACTAGTAGATGTTAGCGATCTGCTAACTGACAAGGCCCAAATAATTTCAGGAGAGAATGTCAACCCGCTTGTCTGCACTATTTTGCCTTATCCTAACAGTCAACACACACGTCGCGGTTCAGCTGAATTCTGACAGATATTTTTTTTAAATAAAAAATGCACTCACCTGCCGTGCTAATTACTTAGCAAACATTAGCGTTAGCCACTTCTGTGTTATGACAACACTTCGGCAGCACCGTAATGCGGATCTTCCTGCGTCGCATCCTACGCTAACGTATCGTTTCAAAATAAAAGTCAGTGTCTCTGCGACAGACTAATTCAAGCACGACTTCAAGGGTACAAGACTTTAATACTTGTATGCGGTTCATAGGTTAAGTGGTTAGCACGGGATACTATATTATTATTTAGATCTATATTAACAAATCTAAATAGTTAATCCAATTTTAGTTTCTGAGTTTATTTGTAGAAAATTTATCATATCACCTTTTAAATATTATGTCTCAACCTATAGTGTCATTTAGTTCTGGCGAAGCTTTAAAAATCAGTTATAATGAAAACAAATAATAATGAGAGAGAGAGCTGGAAGTGTGTCTACTGTTGCCCCTGCCTGTGCAAAGTTAATCACATCCTAAAAGAGCAACTAGGTCAGTTCAAAAAAGATAGATTTGAAATGTGATATATATGTTTATATTCTTTCTGTTTGTCATAAATACTGGCACTTAAATAGCCCATCATGAGACTAGAGCCTTGTTTAGCATCATATCCCTCAGTTAGAACACCAGCAGCAAAAGTATCCTACCTATAATGATTTTTTTTAAGTAACTCATGTTTATCTTCACACACAAGGGAGTGCTGTGAGCAGACAGCATTTGGCATTTGCTCTGCATGTGAACACTGAACATCAGCCTCCCTACCAAGCTCTGTGCAAGGTTCTAGTTTTTTTTATGCATGTACAGTTGAGGTCAGAAGTTTACATGCACTCAATTTGGGCATGAATATCATGGTAATTTTGGGCTTTTAATGATTTCTTTGAGTTATTCTTTTTTAGGGGTGGAATATTGTACAGAAAGCATCTTTAATTGCTTAAAAAAACACAAGATTTGGGTGCTTAAATTTTATATTTATTTTGAATTTTTGTGTATTGAGAGGGTACCCACCAAGAAAAAGGCCCTTCCTCCAAAAATGACACCTTCAAGCTTGACTGACGTTTGCTCTCATGGACAAGTCAAATCCTTCTGAAGAAAAGTTTTATGGTCAGGCGAGAAAGATAATGAGCTACTGGGCCACAATGAGAAGAGGTATGTTTGGATGAGTTAAGGTGAGGCTTTCAATCTAAGAACACTGTACCAGCAGTCAAGCATGGTAGTGTTAGCATCATGCTCTGGGGCTATTTTGCTGCCACTGGTGCTGGTATATTACACAAAATGGTTAGATTAATGAAGGAGGAGGACTGCCTCTAAATTCTTTAACTCCACCTTAAATCAACAGCTGGATGGTTGAAACTTGGAAGCAACTGGGTGTTGTAACGGGACAGTGATAACAAACACACATCAAATGGATAAACAGGCTAATTAAAGCTTCTGGAATGGCCTTCCCAAAGCCCTGACTGCAACCCTATTGACAGGTTGTGGAATAAGCTTGAAACCAGAGTCTTTGCCAGTTAACTAACCGATTTAGATGAAGTATACCAAACAGGCTGAGAAGAGTGGTCAAATATCCAGGCACAATTATGCCAGAAGCTTGTTGATAGCTACCAAAAGCATCTAATTGAGGTGCAACTTGATACTGGACAATTAACCAAATATTAGTGAATTGAGCATGTATGCTTTGACCCCATGCAAATGAGAGGAGATCCAAAATATATTCAAACTGGTGCACTAAATTCATGTTTTTTAAGCCATTAAAGATGCATTTTGTACAATCATTCCAACCTGGAAAAAGAACAGTTCAAAGAAATCTTTAAAAAACCCAAATTCCCATGACATCCATGCCCGTGATGAATGCCTGTAAACATCTGAGCACAACTGGAGCTTATTGTTCATGCCCAACTTATGAGGGCAAGGGTGGGTGAGGTCTTTGGACTTGAGCAGTATGGTTTGACTAATCTATCAGTGATGTAGACCAAAGCTCCCCATTGCCGAGGTGCTCATCATTCTTTCCCTCTGAGTCCTCCTCCAGTCTGCTGCACTGCCATAACCGCAGAGGTTCAAATTTATCAGCCCTCCTTTACCCTTTATCTCACACCCAGCGCACCCTTACGCATTGATGCAAGTATGCATGCATTTCTGTCCAGCAGTTTATACTTTACAGGTCTGAACAGCCATATTTTACACATTTCCCTAGTGATATTCCCAGTTTTGTTTTGTTTGTTTTTTACAGCAACCCATTGCACATAAAATCACATGATATCTTTGCAATGACTGTTGGGGGAAAAAAGCATATATCTGTATTTATGTTGTGTGATTAGAGCCACAGTAAACAGCTCCACAGAGGTCAGTGACTCCAAATTCCACAGTCAACCATAAAAATTTAATTTAGCAATGTGTGTCACTTAATACAATAGAATAGGCTTAGTGGAAATTACAATACCATACACAAAACATGTCATTAACGTTCCACTGTACAAACATAATCACAGTCCTGTGTGCTCAAACATTTTCCACTTCCTACGGATGACTTAATGACTGAGATTGAATGATAATCTTATGAGGTATTAGGTATGGGACAGAGGGCTTATCCACACTCACTACCAACCAACATGTTTAGGCAACCTGAGACTCATTGGGCAATACAGTTGTAGCAACAGTAATAAGAACAGTAAAATGACATGACCCCTTTTTGTTTGGTAGGTTTGGCTTAACACTTTACATGCATTTGATTGATGGGCACTCATGAATGTTTAATTAAAGCTAAGGATGTTCATAGGCTACGAAGATCACGGATCTTAATATTTAACAATATTATTAGGGGAAAACAGCAGGATGTAGAAAGTTTAAGACCTTTAATTGTTGCATGCCGCAAAAATGCAATTCAGCAGAGGTCTGCATGTGAGTTATTATTAAAACTTGATAATCTGTGCTAGACTTTGACCTTTTCCTCAGATACACACAGATAAGCAAAGGTGTAAATTAAGTTGCATGTATTTAACACCTGGACAATGTGTGTGCTGTACTTCAAATTCCACTTTTCCCTTTTTTTTCTCCTCCAGCACACAGTGAAATGACTATGGCTATCTGGCCCCGATAGTATTGGTCTATATATAGAGGAGCCCTGTGACTGAGCTGGCTATAAGTGTCAGATTCCAGGCGCACTCATCCGTCCTGGCTGGATCAGCACCTGCTGCTAACTATACACCCACCCACCCCTGTGCCGCACCCCATCCCAGCTCACACAGGAAAGTCTGTGCCCAACCAAACCCCAGTCTGCAGAAGAAAAGAGATCCACATTAGATACAGTAAGCACTTTCCCTGTTGCCAGAGCAGAAGGGAGGGGCAGAAATACAGTCCAGGAGATGTAATATGTCTGGGTTAGATGCCCCTCTTTGCTTTTTCTATTCAAGTCTGATACATGGCAGTGCCTCTGACACTGTGCTGTCAGTGGGCCACCGGCAGACAGAGCTGGACGGATCTTCTCAGTCCTGGATTCAGCTTATGAAGAGAGGTTTTGTCAGCTTGGGGTGTTTTGTGGATTGAACGGGTAGTTTGTCCGATTTAGGACGGATACCACAACAAAGAAGAATTCAATGTCCCTGGGAAGTCTTCATCAGTGGCTAAAGGTAGAGTACCAGCCTTTCTCTGTCTACTTGCACAAGGAGAGGGCTTTTTCTAAAGTTTGGATAAGGGATATGTGTTTGTGAAAGTTAATTTAAATATTGTTACTCTATGTATCTAGGATAATCTCTTTGTGAGATTCAAAATCTCTTCTTGTGAGATTTTGAGTCTGTAGCACAAAAAGATTTGGAGTCAAAATAAATGTTCATATAGCTTGCTGTATTGGTTTAATTACAAGTTACATAACAAAGGTATTGTAGATGGAGTTATTATTAGAACATTAGGGCACCGAAAGATAATTTCACTCTAGGGAAGTTAAGTAAAAGGAATCAATCCAATTCTAGGTTCTACATTTGTAATTTCTATACTTTTGCCTCTCACAGATATTTATCAGCTATTACTGGTGCTACAAATGAATGAGCTACACAATGTGCAGATGACTGTATCTTATTTCTAGTCCAGGAACGGAGCCCAGAACAGGCAAGAGGAGCAGACTGGACTGGCCACAGTGAGAATTTGGAGCTTGTGGACTAGCAATGGACAGCTGGACTCTCCAGGGGGACAGCTACTCCTTCCTGCGTAGTGCCCCCCGCACCTTTTCCCTTTGCCATCGTGACGGCACCCCCAACCACGTTGAAATATTCGACATTATCAACATCCCTTCTCAGCGCAGCGCCATCTCCGAGACCACTTGCCTGTGTGACATTTTTGGAGACGACTGTGAGTCGGCGTCTCTCTCAAGCAGCCCCGCTGTAGGGCCCTTTGTCCCTTCCCAGAGGGAGGTGGATGGGACGGCTGCTGCGTCACCTCTGTTGGACGAGCTGAACGATTCCTCTGGCTCTTACCACACAGCACAGGGCTCCAGTGAAGGCGAGGAAGGCTTTGAAGATTCGAGAGACAAGCTTTACAGTCCCCCACTGCAGAGGCTTCTGGAGGCCAAAGGGCTGAGCTCTAGTCATCCAGAGGTTTCTGGGGACAGCAGCGCAATTTCACAACCAAGAAGGCAATCACCAGCACCTCAGCTTAGCACAGCAAGCCCTTCTTTCCAAAATCCCAGCACTGGTGAGAGGACACCTTCTCCTGAACATAACAGCCCCTGTATCTTCAGTCCAGAGAGAAGACTATCATCTTTGTCCTCCTCTTCGGCTGAAAGAAGGCCTTCATCGTCCTCACCTGATCCAAAACAAACGCTTTCAGAACCTGAACCAATAAGAACAACTCCTTCATTCAAAGACAGCAACAGCAGCTCGTCACATCAGTCTCTAACTCCAAGTCCCTCTCTTGAACCCAGAAACTGTATCAGCCACTTGTGCTGTGAATCGGTGAACCCTCAGTTTTTACCTGAGTTTGGAGTAGCACAAGACACACCTGAGCCAAAAGCTGCCAACTTAAATCAAAACAGCAGTCCATCAGCTGAGCTCCCATCCAAAGACTTTTTTCAGGATTTTACAGAATCAGCCTTTGAATTAAGAACCTCTCATTTATCCCCTTCACCTTCACCCACAGATTTATTATCTAATTTAAGAGAAACACCGGACTCCCCTGAGCTTATTCATAGGTCCTCCTCCTCTGACACTCAGGCTTCATCTCCTTTCCCTGACCTAAGAGGGAGGATCTCTTTACCTGATCTCTTCAGCAGAGGCTCTACGCCTGAGATAAAAGATTCTCCCTGCACATCAGGTCCCTCTACTGCAGAAAGAGAAACAGCAGCTACTCCTGAAAGCCAAAGGTTATCAGTGGAAGCAGGCAGTTCTGTTTCCACTCCTGGCCCACGATACACCCCTTCCTCACCTGTCATTTCAAAAGCATCATCCCCTGAACTTGTGGAGGGTTCGGTCTCACCTGATTTCAGAAACACAGCTCCCTCACCTGGCCTGCTCAGCGCTGCCTCTCTGACCAGACCTGGGTCAACAACTCCCTCTCCTGAACGCTCACCAGAAATAAGACAGGCGACTTCCCCTGTGGTAAGTTATAGTTTATCTCCTTCACCTGCATTTAGAGACAGCTGCTCTCCCTTCGAGCACAGATATACTTCTCCCTCACCTGAAATCAGGATTACAGCATCCTCTCCTGAGGTTGGCAGGAAAGAGCGACCTTTATCAGCTTCTCCTCTGCTGGAGCCTCTCTTCGACACATCCCCATCAAGAAGCCTCACTTCCTCCCCTCACATCACAGGAATTTCTTACTCTGTTGTTCAACCCGAGGACAGGAGCAGTCCCCCATTTCCTGAACTCTCTCATCTCCCCGTCCCAGAGCCAGATAATACACCCATCCCCTCTGAAGAAAGGAGCCTCACCACAAGCAGAGACGATATAGCAGAGTCCATTGGCTGCTTCACAAGCTCTGCCCCAGAGACTGAAAAAACTCTGCTACATCATCCCAGGCACCAAACACCTTCACCTCAGCCAAATCATCAAACTTCCTCACCTGAACCAAGATTTCAAAGTCCTTCACCTCAGCACAAAAGTAGAGATCCATCACCTGCTGCTTCTCCGCACAGGTGTCAGCTATCACCAGCAACCCTCTCTGCAGACTGCAACCCTCCCCTTGGATTAAATACCCTTTTGAGTGATAGGGACTCTTCTTCAGCAGTTATCACAGAAACACAGTCTCCCACATATTTGAGAAAAGAGAGTGTGCCACCCTTATTTGAGACAGTAACAAGGGACAAATCTCCACCTTTGGTTGCTGAAATCAAAGGCAGTTCACCAGCTCCTCTGCCTTTACCTCCTTTACCTATTTTACCAGAGGGAAAGTTAGATTGCCCTCTAAAACTGCAAAGGGAAGAGAGAGAAGAAACACCAGAGGGAGTAAATATAGAGGATAAATCAGGCGCAGCTTCTTTCCCTCAGGAAAAAACAGATATTCATCCGCTCTTTTTTCAGAAAGAAGACACTGATAATAATCTCCCTTCTGAAATCAACTGTCCTTCTCCTAATCTTCTAGTTCCCAAGAAGAGAAGTCCAAACCTCTCACCTGTTCACGGGGCTAAATCAAATTCACCTGCGCAGCCTCTGTTTGCTGCTCATTCCCCCACTTCTGACAGTAGCAGCTCTTTAAAATCTACATCTGAGACGTCGGGAGGACAGCTGTTAACCAAAGTTAGACCTGAAAACAGAGAGAGGTTCACAGAGGACATGTCCCATCATGCAAACAGAAGGCGGACTCCCTCTCCGCCACTCACCAGGTTTACACCTGTCCACATCATCGCTCCTGAGAAACCATACAGACAGTGGCAGAACAGAAGCCGCAGTCCCACTCATGTTGGCGCATCCTCACCTAGAGGCAATTTAAAGAAGGTGGTGACAAATAGGGAAAGCCCCGACAATAATAGACAGGCCCACTGGGTCAGCCCAGGAAGGCAATTGGGAATGGAAAGGGGAATGCCACTGGAGCAGGAGAGGCAGAGAGGCAGAGAGAGGCAAAAGGATAGGGAGATGGAAAGAAATAGGAAGAGGGAGGAGCAGGTTCCTGAAACGGAAGAGGAGGGGTCGCAGGGGGACACCAGTTACAGAGGGGAACAGGTTGAGCTGTCATTCAGTGCCAGGAATAGAAAAGGACCTGCGAGTCGCGGTGCAGCTCCCACAAGCAGAGAGATCCGACAAGGGTTGCCAACAGCGCATTCCTATTCGGAGAGCTCGTCTGCCACAAGACAGCTACAGCAACAACAGAGTGTTCATAGACTCGCTTCACAACAAGCCACCAGGGGTTGTGCTGCCAGCAGACGACCTCAACCTCCTGCACCCCGAACCAAGAGCAGTGCTCCCGGACGTGCGGCCTCATACAGGCCCGGCCGAAGTTCCAGCTCCAGCATGGGGAGTGAACTTGACGAGGCAGATGATGAGGTGAAGTGGTTTACAGATGTGGCTTTCCGCAGCCTGTCAAGCCCTGATATAGATTACCTTGACATGTACAACTCAAGCCACCACTCATCCGCAAACATCTCCCAGCCATCTACCCAGGAGAGCCCGGCAGGGATCGGCACTGCCTGGCAAGCCTATGCTGACTTCAGAGGTTCTGTGCCAAAGTTGGACCATGATGAACTCTCCTCCCAGCAACCATCTGCATACTTCTCAGATGGCTTAGATCCATCTAGGCGCTATGAACTGGGCAGCTTTGAATGCGTAGATGTGGCTGTAGAAAGGGAGGACTCCAGGAAGCTGAGGAGAGGAGTCCCAAAGAGACAGATCCAGCTGAAAAAGAGGAATGATGCTGATGGGAAGCAAGACGGAAGCAGTGGAAATAGCAGTCCTGGGCTAGCAAGCATGGTGGAAAGCTACTCCCAGGCAAGTCAATCAAGAGGGACGTTTGTGAGGCAACACAGTACACCAGCAGCAATGCACGAGCACTACCCATCTGACCACAGCCCTGAGCCCCATCTTCCCAATGTCAGAAAATCTCAACTCCAGAAATCTGCTTCTATGGATGAAACATGCACTAAAACTCAGATGGCTTCTTGCCTGATCAAGAATGTGTTGTCCAAAAAGATGCAAAGTGCTGATAAACAACCTGATGAACAAGCAGGCGAAGGATTGAGCCCCACATTTGAGAAGAGCAGTCCACCAGCTGAGAGTCAAGTGGCACCACTTAAAGAATCACCAAGACCAGACATACATGACCTAAGTTCCAGTTTTCAATCGGATTATAGCCTTTCATCGGAGAGTATTCCCATGAGAGGGGAACCAAGCGCCAAGGATGAAGCTAAACCACCCAGAAGCTTTGGTGTGAGATCTAGTAACAGGCCGAGCTCATCCAGCAGCTGCAGGAGTGTTACCTTTTCCCTGACTGACAGTGAAGAGGCCGATTCTCAAAGCAGGAATGCAGTGCTGTCGCGATCTGAAATGCGATCAGAACTGAAGGTGCCATTCGATAGTAAGCAGCGCAGAAGTGGAGAACAACAAGCAGACTACAGCAAAACATACAAAAGGGAGGGTGACGACTCAGCAAATGCAACAGAAACTCCTTCTGCCGACGCAGACCACAGCGCACAGTTCAGACCAACAAAGAGAGGGGGCGTGTGTGAAAGCCGGGAGGAACCGAAACAGTTGCAACAGGGTGACAACGGTGCCTTCATGTCTAAAACGCAAGAGATCAAACTGAAAGCTGTGGGGAAAAAGAAAGCCTCTTTAAATCTGTGTCTCACACCTGAAGCAGAAAGCAAATCTGAGAGTACTTCACCAGATATATTTTTTAGACAAAACATGGATGAGAAAACAGAAGAAGAAGACGGAGACGAGAACAATAAAGCAAAAGGCCCGCTTCACAAAGTTAGAGATGTGAGGCGGCTCGTGAAGAATACTTATAATCTGTCCTTTACAGCATCTAGTGCTGAAGAAAGTGTAGAAACTGCTGATGAAAAACATAAAGAAGAGGCCATAGCAGCAGAGGAGATGGATTTAAGACAAGGGATAAGGAGGGAGGAGATGAGGGAGGAAAGAGCAGAGGAGTTCATGGCGGCGAGGACGGAGGAAGAGAAGGAGGAGGCAAAAGACTCAAAAATGTTAACCCCATCTCCACCACCTCACAGCAAAGGAAAGCCTCTGTCTGGTCCACAGCCAATGCAAATAGAATACAAAGCTGTTTGCTTGAAAGAAGACAAGAATAAAACATTGCGTGTCAAAAAAGACTCAGAGAACCTAGGTGACAAATCCCAGGTTTTTTCAAAGCCCGTCACCGATGTGAGCAGAGAATTGCAGTCTTTGAATGCACCAAACAACACAGCGTCAGATACTGAGATATCCAGACCATGTGAGCCTGGTGTAAACATTACAGCAGAACCACGAGAGATGCTGCCAGAAATCCACAAAGTTCCAGACAGTGAGGATAAACCTGCGGCTGTAAGAACAGACAGGAAGCATCACATGCTTGGAAACCTTCCTAAAATGCCCAGTAAGGAAAGAGAGGTGTCCACTGCTGTAGTGTTAATCAGGGAAGGACCGAGCAAGACCAGGACATCTGCATCTCCCGCCCAGGAGATGGAGATCCAAACCCCAATCCTAGCACGGCCTGCTTCAATTTCACCTAAACCCACTACCCCTGGTAGTGCCCCTGCTACTAGTGGCCACTCTGTGTCCATGTTATTAAAGGAGAAAGGCTACCAAGCTGACATTGGAGCAGTTGTGGGTGACAGCCAGAATGCATCTGGAGTTAAAGGAGTTCCCCGCAAGCATGTGAACTCTCTGGAGATCCCCCTTCAGACCGTTGCTCCTTCTGACGGAGGTTGGAATGAGTCTCATAGAGAGAGGACATTCTCCTCCTCATCTACCACTTCCGTCCCCTCAGCAGTGTCTGACAGCACAGATGCAACCACAAAAACCAGGGAAGATGAGGGAGGTAGCATAAATCCTGCAGAAAAAGACACTGCGAAACTAAGGTGTTTTTCTCAGGAACAAGACCCACTCCCTACCAAGCAGAGGGACGTGTCAGATTTTGAAGCTGTGAAGAGATTAGATCCCACTTTCCCCCCGCGGTCACCTGCAATAAGGAGATTCAAACCACAGCCGATTCAGGTGAAATCAATGTCTAAAGAACCACAGAAAAAAGACATTCCCTCAAGCTCTACTGGAAGCTCTACTGGAAACTCTAGTGGAAACAGCAGGCCTCAAATCATTGAAGTTAAATCCATAGCTAAAAATTCCCAAAAGCCAGTCGTGCCTCCAAAGCCGAACTGCAAATTTAAACCTGCGGATTTTGGTGTGACATCAAATGAAGCGCATAGATTGTCGGCAGCAACATCGATTGCAAAGTCACAAAGTGACGAGAGGACTCAGACGATTGTAGTGAGCTCGCCAACAATCTACAGGAAGATTTCCACTGACTCCACAGCAACATCTAATTTTTCAAGAAAACTAGCCGTGTCAGCGGTGTCCAGCCTCAAACCTCCGCCCAGCAAAACAACTTCAACTGCCAGCTCCAGTCTCTCAAACCAGTCAGCAGAACCTCCAGACTCAGAGGCTATTAGTGACAGAGGGCAGATGCAGCAACCAGCTGCCTCTCCTCAGACTGCCAGATGTGCACAAAAAGCTTTAACCTCAGTTCCAACATCAGCCACCAGCTCAGGTGTGACCTCAGCTGCAGGTTCGGTTTCTGACCCGATTGCAAGCCAAACTACGGCACCCGCCTCAGCAGGAGTCAGCAAGCCAAGCCAGCCGGCTGTTATGGATCGCGACAGGCAGCTGCAGTATCCCAGGGCAGCAAACCCTCATCAACAACAAACTGTGCCACTGACTTCAAACAATACAACACAGCCCACTGCTGTTTCCACAACACATCTGCCAAGATATACGCACCAGGCATGCCACAGATCTCTCTCCAGTGAGCGCTCACAGAGGACCGACAACCTGCATTTTTATGCCTCTGATGACCCTCCAAGCTATGATGAACGAGAGAGCTTCAGTCCACTGACGCTCCCGGATTTGACACCCTTGAGATCAAATCGCTTTCAACCCTCCTCCCGTCCTCCTGCCTGCCCCTGCACAGCTGGTTGCCCCACTCACATTGGTCTCCACCCTCCTCACCATCACCGAAGTCCCCATAACCTCACCCCACCGGCCCCCACGCATTCTCCGGGCCAGGCTCTACCTTACGCAGTGGCACAGCCTCCTCTTCGGCCCCACCAGTGCAGACCCGATGCTCAGCCAATGAGCTACCAGCCAGGCTCTCCCAAATCAAGCCCTTTTGGTCCAAGCCAGCAGCCAACAATATACCAGCCTCTCCACCAGCCTGCTCCCTGCGCTCCTCACCCCTCACTCATGCAGGCTTGCTCTGTGGACCGCTCGTTGCCCCCACCCCAGCACATTGACCCTCGACGGCCTCCTGTGCACAGATCCCCCCACCAGCAGCCACCGGGGCTGATAACTGGGGCTCCTTACAGCGATCCCAGCCACAATCACTCCCCTGGCCTTCCCTCTATGGATCCTCAGTTTCTATGTGGCACTCAAAGCATGGCAGGGCCTTCCTATGGCTCTGAATACGGGGGTGACAGCTCCAGTTTGTACTCAGAAAGCAGCTATGGGCAGACGCCTCGCAGAGTGCTCCTGGATCCTGAAACAGGGAAGTACTTTTATATTGAGGTGCCTGTTCAGCCTCTGAGGAAGATGCTGTTTGACCCAGAGACTGGCCAATATGTGGAAGTGCTCATCCCACAGCAAACAATATCACATTCAGGCCTGTATCCGCCCTCCGCAGCCCCCTACCCACCCCTCCCTAACCCCAGCATGTACGCCCCTGCTCCACAGTACATGCCCTATGCAGCTCCTGCTCCCCCAGCCCAGCCCCAGGCCCAGCCCCAGCCACCCCGGTACCCCGAAGCATCAGCTGCAGCAGCAATGCACCCAAGCGGCTCCGGGGTCGGCTACAGAAATCCCTCTGGTCAGGGTTCAAAGCCCGAGCCTCAGAATCATCCCCCAGTGGACCACAGCTACCTGGAGAGCATGTATTATGTCCCTACAGGGATGAATACAAGCCCCAATCCCACCCCACCAGACTATTACCACAAACATCCCCCCAACTTACCCCCAACAGGGGGGAAAAGGTCCTGAAATAGAGGGTAGAGGCCGACTTCCTGGAGCCTGTTAGGTTTAAAATACACAATGTATAAATGGAGTGTCCAATGTTAGCCTGTAATGTTTTCACATTGCAACTGAAGACAGCAAGTCTTTGGTTGTTTTATTTTTTATTTGCTGCTATGTGCTATGCCAAATAGATGACTCTTGGGTATTCAAAATGCAAACAAGAAGGCCTTGTGTTTGAGGCGCTCTTTAAAAGTACTAACAAAAATGTGTATGTAGGATAATCAGGTCGTACTCTGAAGTCACTAGTAATGTGCAGACACTATAAATCCATAGGTTTATTGATTAATGGGTTTATTGAGGTGTGTATTTTCTCTACAAATATCTCGAAAAACAACACAAACTTGAAAATAGTGTTTTAAAAGAACCTCATATTTATTTTATGATTGTGTTTCTCTTAATTTGATTAAGTTGGCTGTAAAACAACACATCAATGGCAATAAAATGTCTCATACAAAATTTTCTTTTCTTGCTTTCTTTGTATTTTTTGTTCTGATGCAATACTTTAGCCTTTATTTTGAAGCTGTTTTAAAATACTGGAAATCTTTGGTCATGCAACCTTTAATTTCGCCAGCGTAGCAATCTGATTCACGGGTTATTTCCTGATATCAGTAGCTTAGTTTTAAAGTACTTTGTTTTAGGATGAAACATTAAAAATGGAGGCGAAATACTATTTTAATTTAATACTCCACACATCAGTGAGATATTCTGCCAGAACGGACAAGAAAATTAGGTAGTGTGACACTGCCCCCACTCCTCATCCTTGGAACAATGCATCAATGTAAAAAATATAGACTTATTTAAAATATATTTTGAGATTTCATAGTCTAAAAAACAATTAAAGAGATCCAAAAAACACAGAAACTTTGGACACCACTTAAGCTCATAAGATACAACATATTATATAAACCTTCATATATGATAGTGACCCATTAATGTGTTCATTTGGAGTAAGAAAGTCTTATAGTGTGTAAATTATTTAAGCAAATTATTAACTCACTATGATTTTTGGTAAGTCGTAGAAAACACAAAAAAATGTTCCCAGTCTGAATTTGTAAGATCACACTGTGACCACTGGGGGGCGCCACAGACCACTACAGCTTTACAGACTCTCTCTCACATCCTGAAGGTATGTGAACATCTACTAACCTTTTGTGAGAGGGCCAGGTGAGACACTGAGACTTTCATTGGATGATCTGTTGGTGCTACATGGTCAACACTGTGGCCTCAGAGCAAAAAAGGGTCCACAGAGAGAGGCATAGTCTCCCTTTACTTGTGTGTTTCTCTACCATGCTTCCTCCCACATGCATGTTAGATTTACTGGTGATTCTAAATTGGCTGTAGATGTGGATGTGAGTGTGAATGGCTGTCTGTATCTCTGTTCTAGCCCTGAAATACACTGACAGTCAGTCCAGGTGGTACTCTAGCTCTCTGACAGCTGCAGACACTTAATCATTTGAGCTACAGATATGCTCGAATGACTGAGAAAAAGACCTGTTTATCCTAAGACTGCGTGCATTCACATCTAGAGGGTGACTGACTTAAATAAGA